AATTACACATTTGGTAAAGGACTTTTAGCCAGAAAATACATAGAACTCTTAAACCTGACAATAAAAAGACAAATCACACAATCAAAAGTGAACAAATAATCTGAATAAACCCCTTCCAAAGAAATGTAGGAGCCAACGCTGCTTCCATCACTGCTGTGGCCCAGCTCCTAGGGGCCTGGGGGTTTGAGCTTACAGGGGGTCATGGGGGTGGGGATGGTGCCAGTGGGTGCCTTCAGGGACCTGGGGCTCACACCCAGGTAGGCAGAGCAAGCCTGGAGATTTCCCTATGTGCTTGATCCTGGAGGCGGGGAAAGGGGGACCTAGGCTAGCATGCTGGTGCGGGAATGTTGGGGGACTGGGCTTGGGAAAGTGTGAATGTGCTTGGATCTTGGGAGAGTGGAGGGGTAGAGGCCTAGGCGAGCACACAAGTCAAGAGCTTGGGCCCCTAGTGGGCAGACAGAGCTCGAGGCCAGCTCACTGGGCTTGGGAAGACTGGGCTGGGAAAGCCATGTGCTCTGGGGCGCAGGGACTGTGGATTGCTCACAGAAGGAGATATGGGGATGTGTAGGAGGGAGGGAAGACTGCTGAGGGAGTATGTTGTAGGTGAGAAATAAATTCTGGGGGACTTCCACTAACAAGGCCATTGCACTTGCAGGTAGGCAAGGGGGAAGAGACCGAGTGGTTTGGAGGAGATAAAGGGGAGGACTTTTCTTGGTCAGATCCATGCACCGACCCATGTGGGAGACCTGAGCTGGGCTAGTCAACATCTACCATCACTGACCACCACACATCAGCGCAGACCAAAACTAGGGCTGAGGGCTTACGTGGCAGGGCTAGATCACAGTACCTGCCATTGAGTGTTGGAACAGGGGCCACATCACTTTAGACTGGGCCTTGACACCAACCAGCACGCAAGAGAACCAAGTCTGGGGGCAGATTTTGTGGGGGATATGTGGGCTCATCTCTGTGGAACTGCAATATTCACTGGTTTGCTCAAGAGCTGGGGGTGGTGATGGGCTGATTTACACAGGACCATGGAACCCTCTGAGACTCATGGGTACTAGGGTTGGGAATAGGCTTGGCTAGTCCAGGTTGCAATGCCCATAGGAGCACCTAAAAAACGGTGTGGGGCAGGTAAGGCTGCAATATCCACCAGCTCACACAAATGCTGAGACAGAGGGGGCATTGTGCTGGGCCCAACATCCACTGGTACATGTGAGATCTGGGTCCAGGAGTGAGCCTGGTGGGGGAACTTGGGAAAATCCCCTGGTGGACCATCACTCCCACTGGTGAGCTCGTGAGTCAGGGCTTGGTGTTGGGTAGGCTGAGCAAGGCAATTCCACTTGTTGACAAGTGTGTGGGTTGATTCTGGGGTGGGTGCAGACTGGGCAGGGCTGGGCCAAACCTTAGCTCACTGGCATGTACAGGAGCCAGCATGGAGTGCCGGCCTTGCTGGGCTAGGTTATCAACTTACAGTATGCATGAAAGCCAGGGATGCAGGGTTAGGCTGCAGCACTTGCCAGTGAGAGATGGAACTTGGGGCGGGCTGGGACAGGCCAAACTGCAGTATTCAATGACAAAGGCCAAGACAGGGGATGGGCTGGGTCAGAGCAACCACTGGCATGTACAAGATCCATGACTGGGAACAGGCCAGGTTGGGGAGCTAAGGGGACACCCTGGCTGTATCGTGGTTCCCACTGGTGAGCACTAGATTTGGAATGGGGGCAGTAATATTGCCTGGCAAAGTTGCAGTATGGCATCGTTGGCATGGGTGTGCACTAGCTCTGGAGTGTGCCAGACTGAGCTAAACTCCAACACCCACTGGTGCTTATGATAGCCAGGGTAGGCGTAGAATGGGCTGGGCTAGGTCTCTCACCTGCTGGACCATGCATGGGCTGGGTCTTGGCATGGATCAGGTGTGGTTGGGCTATAGCATCCAACAGTAAGAGCCAGAATAGGCGAGGGCCAGTCAGACAAAGTCGTTGTTATTGCCAGGATGGGAGGTGGTCCAAGTCAGGGTGGGCCAAGCACCCACTGGTGTGTTATCTGCCACTGGGAGGTGATCTGATAGAGGAGCTTAGGGAATGCCTCTATTAGGACACAGTCCCTGCAGGTGAGCACAAGAATCAAGGCTGGGAACAGCCCAGAATATGCCAGTTTACAGTATCTGCCAGCATACGTGTGGGTCAGGTCTAGGTTACTTCATAACACCCACTGGCAGATGTGAGAACAAGAAGGCTGGGTTGGACTGCAACATCAGCCAGTTCATAGTAGGGCTAGGACTGGCTGGGCTGGGCTAGGTTCAAACATCCACCAGTAAGAGCTGGAGCTAAGGCTGGGCTGGGCTGGGCCAGGCTGCAGCACCCACTGATGAATGTTGAAGTGAGACAGGCCATGCTAGACTAGGCCGCAGCACCATCAGCACCCACCAGCACCCACAGCACATGTAAGACCTGCAGTGTGTGTGTGTGTGTGGGGGGGGGGGACAAGCCAGGTAGGGAGGTTGTTCCTGAACATGAGAACTAGGACAGAGGGCAGACTAAGCTAGGCAGGGCTGTAACACCCGTTGGCCTGCATGTGAGCTGGTTTAGAGGGAGAGCTAGGCTAAGTAACGTATCTACTGGTGCATGCATGAGCCACAGTAAGTGCAGGCTGGTTGGGTTTTGCCACAGCATTGGCTGGCAAGTGCTGGGAACGGGGGCAAGTCCTGTCAAGCTAGGCTATAGAAGCACATGGAAAGTGCAAGATCTGGGGTTTGGAGTCCACCTACTCAGGAAACGGGGTAGGTCTGATGGGCAGCAATGCCTACTGGTGAGCACGAGAACCAGGGCTGGATGTGGACCTGGCTGACAGGTAGTAGCCAGTGTAAGTGTGGGCTGGATAGTGGGGTCAGTTGGGCTGAGCTAGACTGCAGTACCCCTTGCATACAAAAGCTGAATGAGATGTGGAATAGATCGACTGGCCTGCTGCACACACCACACCAGCCCGTACAGAAACTGGAACCCTCAATGCAAAGTGCAAGAATGCAAAAAGGCACAACTTCTTGGGAAAAGGTTTTACAGTTTCTCAAAAAGGAAAACAAAGGGTTATCTAACAATGCAGCGGTTCTAATCCTAGATGTGATACATCCCAAAGACTTGAAAGCATTGCAAGGAAAAAATACTTAAAACATAAAACAAACTTGTATATACGTGTTAATGAAGAAATAGAATGTGTCCTATGCATACTGTGGAATATTATTTGGTAATAGAATGAAATGATGATACTTGTTGCAAGGTAGATAAACTTGGAAAACATTATAGTTATTAAAAGAAAATAATCATCAAAGAGCAGATATTATATCATTCCATATTTATGATTATTCAGAAGAGGCAAATCTAGGGAGATACACAATACAGTAGTGGGTCCTAGGGCAGCGGCAGATAGAGGAGGTGGTACCGAGCGTCTCTTTGGGGTCATGAAAATATTTTTGTTTTTAAACTTTTATTATTATTTGTGAAGATTTATTTTATGTGAAAGGCAAAACTACAGCAAGAGATAAAGTGAAAGATCTTCCATCCATTAGTATAGGCTTCAAATGAGTACCACGGTCTGAGCTTGACCAGGCCAAAGCCGAGAGACTGGAATTCCTGCTGGGTCTCACACATGAGTGTCCGAGTCCTAGCACTTGGGCCATCCTATGCTGTCCTCCCGGGTGCATTTACAGGGAGCTGGATCAGAACTGTAGCAGCTGGGACTTGAACTAGAGCTATGTGGGATGCCAGCATCTCAGGTGGTGGCTTAACCCACAGAGCTGTGACTTCAGGTCCTGACGATGTTCTTGATTTAGGTAATGGTGATGGCTGGAATTGTGTGGACACACTAAAAATCTGCTAAGTCACAGATTTTACAACGATCATCTCTGTGGTAATTTATCTCAAAGAAACAAATGGAAGGACAGGAAAACACAAGGGACCTTAGAGTTTCCCTAATTACAAGACAACAGAAGGAGCAAACCTTTTCTAGTTTCAACTCAGTTATATAAGTATTACATTATTTCCTCAACAAAATCATAATGATAAAAATAGCAGCTGCTTTTTAAGCACTCACTAGGCCCTCTATCAAATGCTTCACACATGGCATCGTGCTGGTGAATTTTAGGTATTAAGATGATGGATTGAGGAATCCTGGGAGCATGCATCACTTGGCCAGGGTGTGGGACAGTGACTGCGGGGTCAGTCAGTGGATGGCAGGAGAAGCTCTGCCCTCCATGTGGGCAGGGCTCAGGCAGGCAAGGAGAGAAAAGGACCTGACCCCTCCCTGACTCCCCAAAGCCAGGGAGAGCTCCCGCTGCTCCTGGTCAGGCCACAGGACTGCAGGACCTACAGCCTAAAGGCGCAGGCAGCTGGACTCGAACTCAGCATGCCGGTACTATCCTGGTGCCTGCAGCCTGCTGAGACTTCTCAGCTCCCCAAATCCCACGAGCTATTATCCCTAAAATATTTCCTCTCAAACATCCATGCACAAATGCGATTGGCTCTTTCAGTGACCTTATACGTAGCAGTTATTGTCCCAATTGCTTAAAATAATAAATTCATTCTACTTTTTATGATGTTCACATAGCTGAGGGCGACGCATGCCTGTGTGGACCACCAATCAGGGTGGGGCGGGTTGAGGAAAGGGGGAGAGCGGATGAAGCAACAGCCTCTAATCTCCTCTTTTTCTTCTAGTATCTGGGAAATTTTAGGCTAATTTTTAGAAATGAAACACAGTCTCAAAAATTGGTCTAAGGTCTTACAAAGGAAATTAAGTCTGACTCCACAGGTGCTGCTATAGCACTTTATTTTCCTTATAAGAGTGACTGAATGGTTTCCAATATTTATTTTTAAAATGTATTATATTGTTCTTCTCCCTCATTCTGTTTTAGGACCTAGTATTACATAATGATCATTCTTTCTTAGTTTGCTGAGCACAGGGCAAAGACAAAAACCAAAAAAAAAAAAAACAAAAAAACCCCCTCCTATATGACAAAGTTTTATTTATATCAAATTAGAGAACAAGATTTTGATTTGAATATAATCACTTAAAATTTGGCAGATTACTTAATTATGCAGTTTTTTCTTTACATATTTGAGTATATACTGAAGAGATTATTTGGAATAGCTTGGCAATAGAAGTATTTCTGTACCTTATTTGACCACTTATATGCATATTTGAGGTACATTTGTCTGTATATGTGTACCTGTGTGCGGATCTACATACACACACCTAGATTAAATGTATTTATATAAAAAGCTAAAGATTGCTGTGTGAGGATTAATTCCCTTAAAAAAATCTATCATATTAAATTGCGCCTGCATTCAGAGCAGAAATGTAAAAAAAAGATCAATTTACTAAATACACACAAATTTACAAAGCAATTGAAAATGAAATGGAAATTTGCATTGAAATGTTATATTCCTGTCTAACTGACATTTAGAAGGCTCTAACAAGCTAATGGAAATTAACACCATATTGTAGGTTACTGACAGTCTAAAGGTTCTGGGAGCCTTCCTGTATCCTCTAAATTAAGAATGAACATTATTATGGTGGGAAGCGACGGCAGATAATTTTCTCCTTTATTAATGTGGGAATTCTCGGGAAGCAATCAGGGCAGTGTCCTACTCCTGCTGGGGGCTTGGGTTTTGCTTTTTTTCCTCTCTCTTCCATTACTGGAAATCCGGCTTCTCGGGAAAGGTGCAGCCTGTCCGCCTGATAATGACGCTTGCTGCGTAGTGGCCTGCGCGGATGCATTCCGTGAGGGGCTTATCAGAAACCAGTTGAGACAGAAATCCTGGAAAAACAGATGAAAAGGAAGAACGTGAGTTTTGTGGAACAGCACTAGAAACATCAGAAAGAGCAAAAAACCAAGTACCCAACTCTTGCTCCAACCGGGACAGAGAATGCTAATCCTCCAGGGTTAAGAAGGTGGTCCCCAAAACAGCAGAGCCCTCCCTTCACATTTCCCCTACAGACCTCAGGTAGGGACAGACAAATGGCCGTCAGGCCAATCTGGTCTTTCTAATCCTAACCTGATAAGTTGCCAATTCCCTTGAGACTAGAAGTCCTTGGGCACTGCTGCTCCGGTCTATGGCCAGCACTGCATCATCTGCATGTCTCTCTGAGTACAACTTTGAGATGAAAAGTCGTGAAGGCATGGCAGTTCCCTTTCATTCCCAGACGTCAACAGTGAAATCATTTCTGTAGTCAGGCATCACGGATCCATTTGACATAATTAATCTGTGCCTACCCAAGGGAGACTCAAAGGAACTAGGTTTATTTTTCGTTCAGATATAAAAGCAAAGATAAAATATACAAATCAAAATTCCAGAGAGTGTACATCAGGTACAGAAAACTCATGAATGAGGGGAGACACAGGAGGGAAAACATGAAACTTCTGCACTTTGCGGTCTGACGAGACAGACCAGGCTGCAGCACAGCCAGAGGTGTGAGCCAAGCAGTTGGTCAACACTGACAGTCTTCGGTGGGGGAGGGACAGAGCTGGTGAGTGAGCAAAAAACACAAATGCTCCACATCAGGAATCACAGAGGTGGCGTCCTTATCAAGTTCATCTTAAATATGAATCCTCTGTATTAATGTACCACATAGATCTATACTAAAAGGATAATTTTGAAGCATGGATTACATTAAACACACAGCAAATTCTATTTAAATTTACTATTAAATCTATATTTTATTTAAATGACATTGAATACATACATTAAAAGGACAATTAGGAAGCACTCACAATGAAAGCCAACACTGTTGACAATTTCAGTGAACAGAATAAATTTCTTGAAAGACGCAAACTGTCAAAGCTCACTTGAATAGCCTGAACAGTCCTGTAATATTTGTTTTGTATTTAAAAGTTTTCCATCAAAAAAACTACAGGTTTAGACTTGATGTCTGAGGGCTTCTACCAAATATTTAAGGAAGAAAATATTGATGCTACAAGAAAACTGAGAAGGGAATGCATCTCAACTCAGCCTCGGACGCCAATGCTGCCTTCAAACCAGCCCAGCACAGACCAAAAGAACAAAAAGTCACCCGGGCAAATGCATGAATACACGTGAAAGAAGAACAAATTATGATGACGATGTGAGGTTTATTCTAGTAATACAAGTTTAAGACTGAAAGTAATCAATGTAATTTATCAGATGACCTAAGACAACAGCAAGATTATCTTAATAGATGACGGAAAAAGTATTTAGTAAAATCCAAAGTCCATTCCCAATAAATACTTTCATTAAATTAGGAATAGGAGAGAACTTTGTTAACTTGACGAAAGGACTTAAGACAAACCACTAGTATCATTCTTACAAGTGGATAGAAAGTTTTCTTGTTAAGATCGAGAATAAGGCAAGAGTTATAAGATCTGGTCTAGTGGTTAACACAAGGGATAAGATTTTGTATTCCTGGGCCAGCATTGCCAGGATCCCAAATAAGAACCCATTCAAGTCCTGCATGTGTAACTTCCAATCCAGCTCCCTGATAACAGTTTTGGAGAATCAGAGGGAAGTGGCCCCAACTAGGCCTCTGTTACCCAACCCATGCGTGAGAGCTGGATGGTGCTCTTGGCGCCTGGCCTTGCACAGAGTAGTGAGGCCGTCTGGGGAGCGAACCAGCAGATGGAAGATTTCTCTCTCTTCCTGTAACTCTCTAATTCAAACTTTAAAAAAGACTACAAATTTTTACACAAGAAAAACTAATTTGGACTTTGTTAAAAGTAAGCTTTTGTAACCTCCTTCAGAGGAAACAATCCAATAAAAAAGTGGGCAAACGTTGGATGTGCATTAAGAGTCCTTTTGTCAAGTTAACAATGGTGACACCTGTTTGGAAGCCCGCAATGCAATCCATCATGGAGTGCCTGCAAGTTTTGGCTACCCTCCTTGCAGTCCAGGCTTCTGGCTAATGCACACACTAGGAGGAAACAGATGACTCAAGTCCTTGGATCTCTGCCAACCATGTGGCGGATCTGGATTGAGTTCCAGGCTCCTGACTTTGACATGGCATGGTCTTGACTTTTGTTGGCATTCAAGGAGTACACCAATGGATAGAAGATCTCTGCCTACCTCTCTGTGTCTCTAAATAAATAGAATTAAAAAAAAAAACGGCAGAAGTGTTGAACAGATGTTAAATACCTGGGAGAACAGATGATAAGAAAGACTGTTCTTTTCCACCCACACTTCCTGCCTTCCCCTAGGCATGGGGCAGCCAGAGCCTGGGAGGGCAGGAGGTGAAGGTTAATTGCAAGGCTGTGTTATAATGACCTGCAGAGAACATTACAAGAGATATATGTCCTTCCTCTTCTACCATTCTGACCACACAGACTTGGCCCAGGCAGATTTGGGGACTGCTCCGTAGAAGACAAAATAAGTATTCCTGACCAAAGGATAAAATGAATTCAGTTAGGAGAATGATGTATTCTGAAGACATTTGCTTAGGCTGTGAAATCACTCTCTCAGGAGGTTATGTGAAAGCATTTTATCACTGGGCTTTCAGGTAACAGTCAAAGGTCAATGGTAGCTTTGTGCCAAACGGTGCGTCTAATACGCTCACAGCCCACACAGCGAATGGGGCAGATGCCAGATTCAGAGTCAGATCAGCTTACAATGGAAACACGGTTATGAGAAGCCTTACAAGCAACAGCTGTTTTCCTCATTCCTGCTGCTATGATCTCTGTGAGAAAGAGAAAAGCTTATGTTTATGAAATATTTTTGTGGAGCCCAAGTACCCGCATCCTCCTTCAGAGAAGAGCAGCTGACGGATGGAGTGAAGTGTTCTGAAGTGTCATTTGCTCTGACAAGGGGAAAACCTGGATGCTGACAACAGCTAAGAACTCGGCCCCAGGGGAATACCATTTTCAATGATCTAGCTTTAAAAACCAACTAATATGAATTACAGCTATTTCATAGCCAGTTATAAGTGGGCAACCTTCAAAATGTAGCTAACACGAATCTTCAAAGTTGCATCAAATAGTTTAAACCAAGAGGGCTTATACTGAAACAGCCTTGCCGAAATCTTTCATGATGTGAATAAACATCACCAAGATAGTATTGTGTAAAATATATATGACATTTGTCACTTCTGCCATTTAAAAATGTAGACTTCACTGGCATTAAGCACATTTGTAAGGTTATGCAAAGATCATCTTGATATGTTGTTAGAACTTGCTTATCATCCCAACAGAAACACTGTACCTATTAAGCAAAAAGTCTACCACTCTTTATCTCAGTACCTAGTAACTGCTGTTCCCGCTTTTGTCTCCATGAATTTGCCTACTTTAGGGACCTTGTGTAAGGAAGAGTGCGCGTTTGTTCTTTTGTGTCTGCTTTAGTTCATGCAGCACAATGCTTCCCAATGTAAGCTTAGATTTTCAATTATCAAGTGCCTGAAGTATATTTTTTAAAAATGTTATTTGAAAAGAATTTCAAATTTAGCCAAATGTTACAGGAATACAAATGCACAAAAGACACCTGCATATCCTCTACCAGATGCACTTATTGTTAACATTTTGCTTCATTTGCAAGCAATTCTTCCTCTGCGAACTATTGGAGAGCAAGTTACATTTATCATGGCTTTTCAACTCGAAATACTTTGGTGTGTCTTTTCTGAGAATAAAGCCATTCTCCCACACAGACACAATCTGGCTATCAAGTCTGTTAATCTGCTCATACTGCAATTTTGTCAATTACTCAGTGATGTCCTTTGTAACAACTTGTCCCTTCAGAATAGAATCTAGCCTAAGATTTAGCTATTATGTCATTTTAGTCATCTTTAATCTGGAACATCTCTTTAGTCTTTCTTTAACTTTTGTGACATGGATGTTTTCTTTAAAAGATTCATTTATTTATTCAAAAGGCAGAGTTACAGAAGGCAGAGAGAAAATCTTCCTTCTGCTGGTTAACCACCCAGATGGTGGAACAGCAAGGGCTGGGGTGGACTGCAGCCAGGAGCCTTGAGCTTTGTTTGCTTCTCCTATGTATGTGTAGAGACCCAAATACCTGAACCATTTTCTGCTGCTTTCCCCAGCACATTAGCAGGGAGCTAGATCAGAAGTGGAGAAGCCAGGACTTGAATCAGGACACATACAGATGCAGAGTTGCAGGCAACGGCTTACTTTGCTATGCCACAGCATCATCCTTTGGAAGAATACAGTCACGTCCCTGGCCTCTTTTTAATACACTGATATCTCACTTAGGGGTTGTCTTATAATTCCTCAGGATTAAACCAGATTATGTGTTTCTGTCCAGAATATGTATAGTGGGGCCTGGTGCAATGGCTCAATGGCTCAGTGGTGAAATCCTCACCTTGCAAGCCCCAGAATCCCATATGGGTTTCAGTTCATGTCCTGGCTGCTCTGCTTCCCATTCAGATTCCTGCTTGTGGCCTGGGAAAGTAGTTGAGGATGGCTCAAAGCCTTGGGAGCTGCACCCATGTGGGAGACCTAGAAGATGCTCCTAGCTCCTGGCTTCGGATAAGCTCAGTTCAGGCTGTTGCGGCCATTTGGAGTGTAAACCAACACTCCTCTCCTTAAACTGTATTTCCAATGAAAACAAATAAATCTTTAAAAAATACATGTGGTGTTCATCTGAGAGTACCATATTTAGAGATACTGCATGTCCTTCTGCTACTCACTGGTAATATTATTTTTGGTCACTTGATCAAGGTATGTTTCTATTTCTTCATTGCAATAGCAAATATTTCTTGCCTTGCACCCGAGAAGCCATCTGTAGACAAACAATGTAAGACCACACAAACAGACTGCACCTCAGTACAGTCCCCAGACCTCAT